ACAGCCCCGCCCCGGGGTGGAGAAAAGCCATGAAAGCCATCAGGGTCACCTGCGGTCCCTTCCAGGTGGCCTGGTGCAACCATGCGCGGATGTCGCCTTCAGATGCGGGTGCAGGTGGGAGCAGCCTGTTCCTCCCCAGGCCCCCTGCTCCGTGCTGGTGATGCAGGGCTGTTCCCTGCCCGCAGCAGGCACCTCGCTTTGGGGGTGCCTGGCATGGGCTGCCCCAGGGCCTGACAGGCAGCGTGTGACCGTGTCCCCTGGCAGAGGGGACCTGAGGACTCCGGCACCAAAGGCAAGATGTCCTCCCCCTACCCCTCAGCCAGGTGTCCCCCTCCTCAGGTTTGTCTCAGGAGAAACAAGGCCAATCCAGCCCGGCCCAGCTCAGCCTGTCTGCAAAAACAGCACTTTGCCCTGGGCCCTCCCTGCCGCTCCCTGGGGTCCTGCAGGCAGCCCCACCATGGGAGCTGGGGGCCCCGAGGTGCCCCGGACCCCAGGGCTGGGCTGGAGGTCCTCCCTCGCCGGTATGGGGGAGGAATGGCCCCGGGGAGGGCTGGGGGCACTGGGAGGGCCCTGGGCAGGGCTGGGAGATAGTTCCTGCGTGTTATCAGCCCATCGGCTCACCCCTGGCAGGGCTCAGCCCTCCGGCGGGATGAGACAGGGAGGGACCATAAAGGGCTCTCCCCCCACCCTGGACGCAGGCGACATTTGGGGAGGGAGCCAGGTGAGCAGCATGGGGTGGCCGCTCTCCCCTGGGACCTGCCTTCTTCTCTGCCTCCTCGCCCGGCTAGCTGCTGCGGCCTCAGGTGACAGCTCGAGCGGGGACATGTGGGGCAGGGGGGTGTGAGTCCTTTGTGGGGGGCCCTGCGGCTGGGGGCACTGGCTGGTGCCACTTCTCTGGGGGGCTCCAGGGACCCTGTCACCTCCCCACAGGATACCAGGGAGGGCAAACTCTCCCAGCTGCCTCAGGAGCTTGGGGTGGTTTGAGACCCCAAACTTTGAATGGGTTTGTCTCAGCCCCCACCAAAGCAGGCCCCATCCCCACTGCCGAGAGGTACAAGGCACTTCCCTGCCAAACTGTGCCTCAGTTTCCCTCTCTGCAGATGGGCTCTGGGCAATGCTGGGGTTGCCAAAGGCCGGGCTGAGCCCCAAAGGGCTCCTGGCCCCTTCAAGGCTCCCACAGAGGTGGTTCAGAGCAGCTAAATTCACCTTGGGGGAGATGCCCACCCTGGTCGCTGAGGGGGGTTGTCCCCAGGGACTCTCAGGGTGCCCAGTGCCCCCGCACACCCCCAGCTCTGCTCTCGCCTCCAGATGCTGAGAAGACCCCGGACTACTGGAACGAAGGGGCCAGAAGGAGGCTGGAGTCAGCCCTGGCCTTGCAGCCGGCAGCACAGCAGGCCAAAAACATCATCCTCTTCATGGGTGATGGTGAGTCCCTTGGGGGACCAGGGGTGAGAAGATGGGGCTGGTGCAAGTTCCCTCCTCTCCGGCCCAGCCCCTTGACC